GCTGCACGTAGGGACAGGAGAGGAAGCAGGCAATGTAGAGCAGGCATCTCGCTACCAAATGAACAGATTTCTCTCTCATCATGACTAGAAATCTTAGATCTAGAAAGGGCACAAGGACTTATGATGAGAGTATAAAGCTATGACATTAAAACATGTATTATGGTATGCTGGTGACAGGAGTTCCCAAAAAAACCCAAAGCCTCAAAAGACAAAAAGGACAATAGGCAAAGTAACAAAATTCTGCTTAACGTTAAAGAAGCACCTTCATTCAGTTCAAACAAAGTGTTCAAATATTTGATTCTGCAAAGCACTCTCAGGAAAAGGTAATGTAATCTCCCACTTCACCTTTCACAAAGCTGCATTAATTACATTCCAGGCTTCAGCATAATTTCACTAGTAAGGCCAATAACGCAGTTCCATTGGCCCTGCACCCTTGCATACAGCAACTTCATGCAGTGTTCACCATCTGCACCCGCTGTATGAAAACGGCAATAATTCCTTAACACCACTTAAGTCACAGAACTTCCCCAGGAGCATGGGGAAAGACATTGGTAAGATACCACCGGCACCCGCTCTTCGGGACCGATTCTGCCATTAATGCACACGTGCAGCTGCTAATGGCTTCGAGGGGAGCTTCTGGTCCAGATAATCGGACAGAGCAAACAAAGTGAAGAAACCCAATCAACTGGCAGCTTAACAGCAATGCTTCGTTCTAGAGTCTTCTAGAAGAGGACTCTGTCTCATCGACAGCAATCAGAACTGGTTTCAGATGAACATGATTTTTTTTATTTTTTTAATCTAATAGGGACAGCAAATTCAATGCAGCTCTGAAAGGCACTTCAGGTAGAACAGTAATTAACTCCTGCCTGATGAAGCCAACCAGAACAAGGCTGCTGGCCTCGCTGCCCGTGCTGCCCTTTTCAGCTAAGGCAATTTCAGTGAATAGCTAGCTTCCACGCACTGCTTTCCCCACACGACTTTAATTTAGCCACTTACACTAGCATAAGGCCTTACTAAAAAACCAGAAGGCTCAACAGCTTTCACCTCCCCAGCAGAAGGGGAAGAGGGTTACCTTGTAGGAAGGTAACAGCCTGCACAGTGGGTTACTTGTTTCACTGTTTTTAATGCGCTGTCACGGTGTCGTCATGCAACTTTTTAACATACCTTAATTCTACAAGTTCAGTCTCTTGCTTAACAGATGAACACAGACAAATGAACATAGACAGTGTCCTCACAAACCACTAGGCCACTGTGTCTTTTCAGAGATACAGTAAATTTCTATTGTGGGTAGAGATCACGTAAAAGAAATGTCATCCGATGTAAAGGCTACCTTGCACAATTAATCAAAACTAGCCCATCCAGCCGCTCAGCTCAGTTGTAATCAAAGCCATCGGTTATCACAAAAAGCACCTTCATATCAGTAACTGCTCACCCCTATGAAACTCAGTCTGAGTTTGAAATGTATTAGGACTAATTTTATCACGTAGCTGATTCTATTCACGCTGGCGATCCACTGTTTTCAAACAATCAAGTATTGTTCCCATCAGTATTTGACATTAGTGTAACGGATTTATGCATATCATTGCTCTCCCACCACCCCACCCCACCCCCCAAAAATAAAATTCTACAACTGCTCAAATAAGGAAAAAAAAACCCCAACTAATAGCCATACTGTGAAACAAAAATACTATTTAAAAAACAAATGGATGACAGTCCAACAGCTTGCAGGATTCAAAACTGACTCTACAAAGTAGTTGTCTACGTTGTAGAAAGGATTTCCTTTTATTTGGAAAATGAGCAATTGTAAATCAGGTATTGGAGAGAAGAGATATAAACAATCTTTAGATGGTCTTAAGTTTTGCCTACTGTTGAAGGATTAAAACCGTAAATAAAAAGGTACCAAGCCCTCAAGAGTTCACCATTCATGTGAAGCTTCTTCCATCTCTTTCTTGACCTTTTTAAAAACCATATTCGTTTCTGGGAAAGGAAGGGAGAAGAAAATAAAAGTTATTCAGGAGAAAAACCAGTGGTTATTTCTTGTTCTGACATTACATAGAAGTGCTCAATTTTGACTCAGGAAAGCCTTAAAATCAACCAAAAGTCTCAAACCTTGCTTCTAAACGGCATGGTACTTTGGCAGTAGAAGATGTGTTTGTGTATAGACTTGGAGAAGATCCTTGGACTAAAGGATGAAACGTACTTACAGTTACCAAATAGAAAAGGGAAAACAGGATTTCTGAGGGCTTTAAAAACATGGGGCGGGGAGGGTGGGGTGGTGGTGTGGCGGGAATGACAAAAGGCTTTAGATTAGAATCCAAAAGTTAATGACTAAAGACACCCTAAATTCAAAGGTACTCCTCTGCTGTATTCACAGCTTGTTAACCAAAGTACCAGTTAAACATTTTAGCTAATAACCAATATATATATATTCAGTTGTCTGACTGCAAGAACTAAATTATTAACAGATATTTAAAACATAACAAAGAGAATCTACAGATTTAGTTTTCACTAGTATGACGACGATACTACACCAAGTACTCGCATCATGCGGGCACAGCGGCAAACTTGCTCATTGCACCTCTTACAAGGCTGAGCATGAGATTAAGTGTTCTTTGAATCTCTTTAGATGCACACAAATCCTTAGCATCGACCAGGAGCAAAGATCACTTCTAAAAGACGTGGAAAGTTCAGACTGTAGTTGCTACTTATCTTCTGCTAGCATGCAGAATTTCAGTCTCCTGAATAATAAAGACCTCCAGCTTCTGTCACCAGTGAGTCAGGACAGGAGAACAAAGGCCAAACTACCAAGCTAATTCCACGTTGTTTTGAAAGGGTAGCATAGATGCAACTCAATCAAAATTAGCTTCTGGAATTTAAACGCCCTAAGAAGGATAGATTGACTGCATTTCAGGCATTAGCAAGTCCTTCCTACAGTTCTTCTCAGAGTTTGGTTTTGTGTACATTCTCTCCAAACCCCGCAACTCCAGGCTGGGTATGCGTGCTCACGCCTGAATGTACGCACATACCTGCCTGTGAACATACATACATACCTGCCCTTGCATGGAAGTCTCTGTACATCTTCTCATCTGAAACTTTTCTGCTGTTGCATCAGCCCCACATTTTCATATACTCTAGCACTATCTTCTCTCATTCTGAAATGAAACATATTTACGGTCTGAAGAATCTAGCTTGAGAAAGCCACATTTGTACACGCAGTGTAACTCAGTGACTATTTTGCTCAGTTTATTTTAAGAAAAACACAGGCCCACAGTCCAGGGCAGATTCTGTGATAACTCATTCTCATTCGAGGTCCCTGAAGATTTTAGGTGAACAGTTCAAAACTCACACAGTATGAACAGAAGCGCACTTACTCTGGACACGTTGGGGTTGGGGTACAGGGTGGAAGAGGGCTCTGATCCCCACTTGTCTGGTCCGATAATGAATATTTAATGTTTGTGTATTCGTGACCTTTTCTCTTACTCTTCTGTGAAGCAAAACATGACAAAATTTTTAATTACTAATAGAAAACAATCATTGAAGTAGTGCAGAAATTACACGTATAACTATGCATGGTTTTAGGAGAAAGGTTTGTCCACAAACAGAAGAGAGCTCAGTTCTGTAGATAACACACACAGAATGGATAGGACCTAAAGATTGGCTTTAGCTATTCCCTTACAAGACCTGAAAAGCCTCACTTCTCAATATTCCTCTTTTCACCACCACCTCCAGCAGAACGTACCAACCCTACGAACCAGCACTCGTACCACATCTTCATCTTACCTGGCAGAAGAAACCACACTTCATTCTTTAATAGAGACAGTATCAGCCAGTGGGCTTCCCACTGACCTTATTTCCAGCTTGGAGATGTGGCCAAATGAGTAACAGCGTTGTTTGCAAGATCGCTAATAAAATAACATCCTAGCCCATTAGGTTTGATATAAAAAGAACCCAAGCTGTTATTTGTATTCTGCAGCATATGTTACAAGCTGCAGCCAATTGCGCTGGCATTCATCTAAAGATACTGAAGGCTCCAGCAAGCAAAGATACACTAGGAAAGAAAGGGGATATGGCTTTCCTAATTTTCAAGACGAACATTCACAACACATGCATACACCGAAACCTACATATAAATTAAATCCTCATTTCAAAATTTTACACTCTACTGGTTTTTGGGGGGTGTGGTGGTGTTTTGGGTTTTGTTTGTTTGATTTAAATGCTCCAACAAGTACTAAATAACTGGCTGAATCTCCCAACAGAGGTTGTCAGAGCCTCTGGGGAGATCTGGCTGCTGAGTTTCCATTACAAATGCTCTGTAGAGCAACGCAGGCTGAACTTTATCCAAGATGACCTTCTGAGACTTGCTCAACTTCTTCTGTTCTTTTACTGAACTTCTCCCCTCTCAGCCTCCTACTTACTCCTGACAAATCACTTTCAAATAGACCACCAGTCCAGATCAATTACCTGGAAGGCTGAAGCTAAAAAAATAAGATTTAAATAAAATGCAAAGGTTCAAACTCTGCTGCATTCTACAGTGTTATGGGTACAACCCCCTCATCTGCCAAGAATATTCTGAAGCCCAAAACTAGGGCTTGATTTCCACCCCCACCCCACCCCAAAACTGCATGGTGAATGGCAGTTCAAGTTACAGATTAACTGTACGGTAAAAGCAATTTTAAAAGAATCGGTCAGTTCTTCTATTACTTAAACTGACTGAAACAGATAAAACAAGTATAGAAAACGTAGATATCTGGCGTCTCCTCCTTTTGCTTAATTCCCTGTAATTATCCTTTCTAATTCAGAATAATAGAAACGTGGTAAGAACTACTTGTTTCTTAGATGTAAAGACAGACACATTTCCACAGGAAAAAACCCAAACAAACCCTAAAACAAATTCACTTTGCTTCTCTTCTACACTCGTAAGAAGACAGGCAATATTTAACGCAACACTTAACTCCATGAAACCTTGAGGCTCTCGGCATTGCAATGCAAGAGAGAATGCTAGCAGGGGAGGGAAATGTTTCCTGAATATAAACAAAATTCAGGCATTATCTATGCGAACAGCTGCAGGATTCACATATCCGCTTCTTCAGCCCAGCTGGTTTAAGTCCTGCATGACAACAGGCTGGCTAACGTGACTACCTAATTTTTAATCAGGGCTGGCTTGTGTTTGTACAGACTGAAAAGCAGACAGGGAGCACAACCCCATACTCTTTCCTATATAGGTGCCCTAATTCACCATTTTCTTTTCAATCTTCCAGGTTTTACTGTTTGCAACTGCAATTAAAACCAAGCATAGAGAGAAGAAGGTTCCAGAAGTTAAAGTTTCTCAAAAAATAGCATTTTACTCCCCAAGCATCCTTTTGGGGTGAAATTCAAGCATTCCATACAGTATTCTGCTACTCTACTCAGCCAATTTTTTTCCGCTCCGTCAAAATGGTTTGGAGCATTCAAATCCATCATGCTTTCTTCAGGACATCAGTTCCTATAGTCACCACATAGCTTTGCTTTTGTCTGAAAAGTTCTACACTGTTTTATTCCTACAGCTGCCACTAGCCTTAGTTATAGGCCAAGACCTCCTGAGGTAAAGCAATGTTTTATTTCCAGTTTCTTAAACTTTTATACCTGTGCCTTCTGAGCTAGTACTGGAATAAAGGCTGGAACACTACTAAGTGAGCCTCAACACTGGAGGAGAAATACACTGCTCCACTTGGTGACAAAATACCATTCGAACCCCATTACAACGATCAAGAGAGTCACAGATCTGCTCCGTAAATGGCAGCAGCTGAGACCATAGTCAAAAAGCTGAGGATACAAGGCTTGCATAATTACACCGAGAGAGAGACAAGGGAGCTCCAAGGCGAAGCGAGACAACAAAGCCAGGAAAAAAAAAACAGTACACCTGAGGGATTTCTTGTTCTTTGCTTTGTGCCTAATCACCCTGAGAGCACACAACAGCTGTCCTGGGGAGAGGAATAAAGTCTCTATCCTCTCTGCTGAACAGTGCATCCACCCCATGGAGGCATGTATAAAATAAGCTCCGACACACTCCAAAGCGGCCAGAAGCCAGGCGAGAGTGCCAAGCTGGCACACTCCATCTCTAAACAGGGCTTGCATCTCACACCTGGCACCGCGCTAACCGCACAGCTCCCCGCATCTGCCCGATCGCTTGGGTGCCTTTATCTCCTCCTGAGCAGCAAGCCAGCTGCAGAAGGAAAGATACTGTAATTCTGAAACAAAAAGATAAAATCCCAGGTGACCAGAGGTTAGGGCAGAGCATGAAAGCAACACTGAGTAGCGTGTCAGTTCTTTATTACAAAATAAGGTCAATTCTGTAAAAGACCACAAAATTTGAGTGCAATGAAGTACTTAAACAGAAGAGAGAAGTGAAGGTCTTGTGATTGTCACCATATATTCCAAAACTTTCCTCATCTTACCACACCAAATCACTCCTCTAACTGCTTCTTGTTGGACACTGCACTGCAAGATCACCACGCGCATTCTTTAGTCTTTCAGTCCAATATACTTACCTCTTACTAATAAACATGTAATTTAAAACTCAAAAATACATATCAGAGCTACTAGCATTCAAATTTGATTATCATACTTTAGAAATATGCTTCTTATTGGACACGGCACTGCAAAATCACCACGCGCATTCTTCAGTCTTTCAGTCCAATATATTTACCTCTTACTAATAAACATGTAATTTAAAACCAGCATTCAAATTTGATTATCATACTTTAGAAATACAGTTAACAGATTGGAAATATCTTTAAAGCTCAATAGAGCACAAGGTTCTGTATTAATTAACAGAGCCTTTTATTCTTCTTGCACAGAAAATTAGGTAATTTTAAGGGAATTTGAGATCTGGGGTGCAGGGACTGGGAGACGGGATCCCATACATGCCAGCATTTTCATGGAAGGTAAAGCAGCACTAGCTGCAGTCGTAGGGAGAAGACTCTCAGACTGATTATTTTCTTCCTCTGCAAGTGGCCAAACACACTGGTTTTATTTTACAGTTTTCTAATTCCATTTAATAGTTTAAGTACTTCTTAAGCATATGAATTGAAATGAACAGGGTTAACAGGTTACAGACTTAGCCTCTTCATGATCCACTGGTTATATAGTCAGCAGTCAGACCTCCAAAAGTAACAAGCAGCAAACGAGCAACTGTTCCCCGTTCCAATGACAACATGTTCCTATGTAACATTTTATATTCTAGGACAAATATACCTGCTCCTCTTCAATTCTGCGCTGTAGCGTTTCAATGTAGTGCTGTACTGCCATGTAAATAAATCTGTACTGTGCTTCCGTCTGAACCATTCCTGACCGCTGTGATCTCACCATCTGAATGGTCTTTGGAACATCAATATCACAGTCCACACCTAGGAAGAATCATCATAATATTAAGAACAGCGAAATAAACTGCCTTTGGGAGAGATTGGCCTCATCGTCCAGAACACAGTGTAGTGGAACGATAAGCAAGATTGCTAACATTTAAAGTTAAGTCGAGGATTTGTCCTCGACTACCAATACACAGATCTGTAGAGCTGTAGCATAATGTGGAAAGTTGTCCTGGGGGAGAAAACTGCATCACTTCACGCTATTCCAAGATGACTTTAAATGCAACCTGGCTCAACATACATGCTGAGTCAGTGTTTATGGCAGCTTATACATAAACACAACGCTGTTCTCCAAAACCAAGTTACTCAAATTCAGCGTGCATGAGTACATTGACCGCCACACGCTCATGAATGATTTTAAAAGAATAATAAGAAAAACAATCAGACTCTTGGCTAATCCTCAGCTGAAAGTTTTCGTTATGCTGAACTGGAGCAGGGTTTCAGCGCTTTGATTGCAGCTAAGTCAAGAGGAGTGAGCAAGTCCCTTCTATGCCAAACACACACGCCTGCTTTGTAGCATCACTAGAATCCTCTACTCTTATCAACACTCCTGTCCTTTTACTGTGATGTATCTGTCAATGTACCACAGGAAAATAAAAGGGGGAGGGAACCTACCTTTTTCTCTGATGATGTCAATAAGAATATCAATCACAATGAAAGTCCCTGTTCGCCCAATCCCAGCACTGTAAAAAAAAGAGAAGGGGGAGAAAAGTTAATGGTCTTGCTCTTTCTAGACAGACACCAAAACACTAATACAAGTAGGAGTCCAGTATTAAGAGACATTAGAACTCCAAATTATACCCAGAGTCAAACCAAGCCACAGAGCCAAAAGTAACTAGAGACCTAGTCAACTTAACATGGAAGAGACAGAATTCATAACAGCGCTTCTGTACCTCAGTGTTTATTAATATCCTTAAATCAGAAAAAACCTACAAGGTCACAGCTAACATTTCCTTGCCTTATAAAAGTCATCTCATTTGTAAGCCAAGACTGAGAAGAGCACACTCACAGAAGGTGGGATGGGAGACTAGAATTCCCACGATCCTGCAAACCAAAACGCACCTGGCCAAGACTTCTCATGCAACATCAGAAGTTCTTATTCAGACACGCACCCTCTGAAAGACAACCTGCTTAGAAGGTAACCGTATGACACCTATCTAGATTATATCATTTCGCAAAACAAAGCACAAACACCTTGACGGATGAAAGTCTGAGTAACTCTTAGGGGAAAGTTGTCATATTTTAAAGTTTTCAGCTCCCCCACCAGGAGAAAAAAAAAAAAAAAAAAAAAAAAAACGGAGTTACTGGCGGAAGGCGTTGCAGTACATGCCAGGGAGAAAAGAAAGAAAAGGAAAAGGATCTCACTGCCCCTGCAGCCTCTGAAACTTTGCCTCTGCCAAGCTACAACAAACAGGAAAAGCAGAATTAAAACACAGCCCCCACGC